GTCGGGGGTGGGGCTGGGGGCGGGCGCCCAGTTGGCCTCTTGGTCGGGGAGGAAGGCCTTGTTGTCGAAGCCGCTGGGCTCCTGGGGAGGGCGCGGGGTGGGGGGGTCAGGGGGTCAACCGGGACCCCCCCGGGCTCAGACCCACCTGGCCTCTCTCCCCGGGGACCGGGACCCCCGCTAGTTCCTCCCCTTTTCTCTGCCGCTCTTTGCTTCTCCCCGTATTTTGGACTGTGGTGTCTACACCCCATCTCTCCTCACCTCTGCTCTACAGCGTAGCGGCTGCTTCCTGGTCCCCACCCTGCCGCTTCTCCACCTCCCCCCTGTACCCCCTCCTGCCCTGTGCCCCACCCCCCAAGGCCTCACCAGAGCTTTGCCGGAGCGGCACTTCAGCCGCTGCCCATAGTGCTTGTGGATGAGGATGGCCAGGCCCATCAACGCCAGGAGCAGCAGCACGCCCAGCACACCGCCCAGGGCCCCCATCTCCGCGGCCGAGAAGCGCCGGTCCTCAGCGTGGCTGCCATCTGGCTGGTCAACCCCCCCAGTGCCGCCTCCTGCAGGCAACAGCGCCAGCCACGGTCAGCGCGGCACCCCAGCCCGGTCTGTGCCAACCTGAGAACGAGCTAGGCTGCCGAAGGGAGGGAGGCCCAGAGGGGCCTGCGCCCAGCGGCTCCAGGTGGGAGGTGGGGGTCCGACCCAGAGGAAGGGAGGCGAGGGCGGCGCTGGCGCCAGTGGAGTGGATAGCCATGGAGTTGTGGGGTTCACTGATCCCAAACCTGCACTTTCCCCAATTTCCCTTCTGGGGCTCCCAGGACTTGTCTGTCTCCACCCAGACCAGAGCTGCCGCCCCCCCCCTTGGGATATTACGGTCAGTATGGCCTTGGCTGAGCAGACCTGGGCGACCCTGCCCTACAGTGACTCCTGGAACCGTCTAGCCAGAGAGCAAGAGTGTGACTCTAGGGCATCTGGGGGTGCTACCTGGGAGCTGGGGGGTCCTGCTGGACCCAGGAGATGTCGGCTGAGAGGTTCCTGGCTTCGGGGTCTGTGCTGAGCCCCCGCTGGGTGAGGCTGATGGGGGGGAGGCGCTGGTTCCCACACTGGGGGGCCCCCCAGGCGTGGACGAGGCAGGTGGCCTCAGAGTTGTGCCGGCGGGGGGGTCAGGACCAGTGCCCCCCCCAGAGCTGGTCGTGGAGGGTCTCTGAGAAGGCCCGGGGGGCCCGGGGGGCCTGGGGGCTTCCGAAGTGGTGCTGCTCGAGGGCCGGGTCGTTCCTCCAGCCTCTGGGGGTGTGGAAGGGCCCGGGGGGCCTGGGGGCCAGGGACACAGCTCGGGCTTGCCTCTGTCCCCAGCATGCTTGTGGCAAGAAGCCCTCCCTAAGGGTCACCTGGGCCCCCAGGCTCACCTGTGGGGGTGGGCGCCTGCTCTGACACTTGAATCTCCACGACGGTGATCGCTGTGCCAGATGTCACCGTGTTGTTGGCCTCAACCTGGGGCAGGAAGGGGGCTCGTCCCTCCTGGGTCTCCCCTTAACCCCTGCCCTCGAAGATGCTGCCCGCTCCTCACCTCCGCGTAGAAGACCCCGGCCAGCACCAGTGGGGCAGCGGTCAGCACAGTCTCCCCGTCCATTCGGAAGTTGGAGTTGTTGGTGATTTTATATGTGATGGCTGAGTTGAGGTCCTGGACACAGTCCTGGTGAGCTCTGGGCCCCCATAACCCCCAACCCACCCTAGAGGGGAGGCCAGGCAAACCCAGGCGGGGCCTACCGGGAACTCGGGGTCCTGGGCCCGGATCCTCAGAAGCTGGGAGGGGACAGCTGCGTCCTTGACAGCCACACCCACGCCCGAGCCCAGAGCCACCATGCCTCGGTACAGGCTCAAGGGAAAGCGGGGTAGGCTCCCCGAGGCGTTTTGGGCATCCACTCTGACCTGGGTCACCGAGTATCTGATGTGGTCCGCCTGCTCTGCCTGGGGGTGGGGGAAGCAGCAGTGACCAGCGGGTCCTTGAAGGGTAAGCCCTGTGGCCTGGGACTCAGGAAGGACCCGTGGAGACCTGGCCAGGGGACCCACCTTGACCAGCAAAAGGAAGGTCTTGGGACTGGGGACGCTTCTGGTCATGGTCAGATTGCCTGAGTCAGCATCGATGACAAAAGTGCCGTCTTCATGTCCTATGAGGGTGGCGGGAGGGTTTAGCCCTGTCCCCTCCAAAGGCCTGAGGTCCCAGCTGGCTCTGCCCACATGGCAGGTCCCCCTGGGTGGGGACTGAGATGGGGTCTGGGTGTTGTGTGGAGAGAGAAGCTGGGGGTGGTCCCCACTCACCCTTCAGGAGACTGTAGATGATGCGCTGGTTGATGCCCCAATCCCCGTCCACAGCGTAGATGGGCCCAGGTTGCAGGATGAGGGGGGTCGGCTGCGGGACGCGGAGGGGGGGGTGCTGTGGGGCTGGTGTAAGGGCCCTAGCTCGGCCCCTCCCATTCCCCTCAAGGAAGCCTGAACCCCCCAGGCAGGCCTGCCAAGGACAATCCAGTTGTGGCACGATTACACATCACACCCCTTTGGACCCGCTGTCAATGAGTCATTTTGCCCAAAGACATTCGATGGATCTGAACACTGCGTATCTCAAGAGCTGGCAGGTGCAGGGGACGCGGCAGCTCGTGTGGCGATCTGGACCCTGCCCTCCAGTGCCTCAGCGTGCCCCTCATGGCACAAGCGGAAAGATCAGAGGTGCAGCTCTGTGTGGCCCCCCAAGCCCCCAGCGTCCCAGGTGCCTTCACTGGGTCCCTGGCTGTGCCTGCAGGACGGTGGGCTGTCCCCCTCACTCTAATCTCAGAGGAGTTTTCTGGCCACTCAGCACCACAGGGGTCAAGTGAGATTGGTTCACAAAGGAATGTTAACATTTGCTTGAAAATCACAACAGAACTGGCCCCATGGCACCCAGGCCCCACCCCCGGTGCTGGCTGACCCTGACCCAGCTCAGGACATGGCCCCGCCCCTCCCTGTCCCCAGTACCAGTTTGTGGCCTGTGGGGATAGCCCCATGATACTCGGCATTCAAGCAGAAATAACCATCGGAGTAGATGCAAGGCAGGAACCAGGGGGGCCGCCGGTCGACCGGCTGCACCTCCAGGACCAAAGTGGCGCTGGCCGAGTGGCTGGGCACCGCGTTGTCCTGCCAGGTGTCCTGCAACAGCCAAGGCCTGACAATCAGCCTGGGAGCTGGGGCTGGGGCAGCTTGGGTGGGGCTTTGAGGGCCCAGGACTCAGCATGGGGGTGGCCCGCTTACCCGCACCAGCAGCTGGAAGGTCATGTTCGGCCACCTGTCCAAGTCCAGGGGCTGGTCCAGCCGCAGGGCGGGGCGGTTTGCACCCACCAGGGAGAAGAAGTTCCTGGCCCCCTGGGGAGGTGGAGGGCACAGCCTGAGACTCTGGGAGGAAGCGAAGGGGCAGCGTGGTGCCCAAAGGGACAGGTGGGAGTTGGGGCTGGGGGCGGGGGTGAATGTGTGTGTACTGACTGGCGTCACTTCCTGGAGGGTATAGAACAAGATGTCGTCTTTGTCGCGGTCCTGGGCTTCCAGCTCCTTCTCAGGAATGACTGTGGCATTCACTTGAGTGTCCTGGCAGACGGAAGGGGGTGGTCTGGCCATGGACCCAGCCCCGTGGTCAAGGCCCCCACTACCCTCGTGCTCCAGCCTCTGACCCTCCGGGCTTCCCTCACACTCACCTCCGGCACCCTTTCGACCTTGACCTTAAAGGGGAACTCTGGGGCGTTGTCATTGACGTCCAGCACAGACACAAACACCCTCAGCTGGGTCACCTGGGGGGACGGGGTGGTGGTCGGCCTTCTCCCCATGGGCGCACCCCTGCAGAGGGGCACTCTGGTGGCCCCGCTCATCCTAGGTGCTGGGGCACATCACAAGGCCCAGCCCTGTGCTCTAAGGAATTCCAGACGAGGAACAGAAAGTCACCTGTAAAGGGAGGTGACGAGTGCCCTGCAGAGAAGTAACTTGGGGGCTGGGATGCAATCAGCCAGACCCCCAGGGAGGGAACCAGAAGAGCATTCAAGTGTCCCCAAACCGAAGTCTCAGAGGAAAAAGAGGACAGAAAGGGGACCCAAAGAGAAGGAGACTTAAGAGAACTATCAGCCAGTTGCATTAGGTGACCCTGCTGTGTCTGTGACAGACCCTCTGACCACAGGCTGCAGACATCTCCTGGGCATCCTATGATGAGAGTCCCTGCTTTTCTCGGGGGTGACACATCACATGCCACTGTGATGTGTAGGAACAGTCCTTATCCTTCAGTGATCCTGGGACGGCGGTGGGCAGGGTGCCCTGGCAGTTGCTGGGGCTTCTGACGCTGTCTTTGCGGTATGTGCCTTTGTAACTTCCCGTCATAAAAGGTGAGGCAGGGTCAGGGTCTAAGGCGTGCGGGGTGAGGGGGTAGCGTCGCGACTTAGAACAGGGTGGCGGGGTGCCTCCCTGGGCAGTTGACAGCTGAGTGATACACGAGACACAACAGCGGCAGGAGCTCCGGGCAGGACCCCACGGGCTGGCTCCTCTCGCCACACGGAGAGTGGACTGGGGTGGGTGGGGCCGAGAGGGCAGCACATGAACCAGTTGGAAATTTCCAGAAAGGAGATGCTGGTGGCCAGTGCCTGAGTCGGGCCTGGAGGTGGGAGGCCCATCTGGAGGCAGAGCCAACAGATTTGCTGATATGAGGATGTGGGGGCAGGCAGAGGACAAGGACTGAGCTGGCAGGGGAGGCGACCCCCCCAGATGGGGGTCTCGGGTTGGGTCAGGGTGGCTGGGTTTTTGAGTCTGCAGCTCAGGGCAGTGTGGGCTGGAGGAAGTGTGGGCATCGCCAGCACAGGAGTAACACTTGAAAACACACCACTGGGTGAGGTCCCTGGGAGGAACCCTGGACCAGGCAGAGCACAGAGGTCCAAGCACTCTGACATCACAGGGCGAGGGAGGGGACCTGGAGGACGCCCAGGAAGTAGAGAGCCGGGGCGGACTCACCACAGTGCCACCCCTTCTGCACTCGAGGAGTGCCTCCAACATGGTGTTCTCCTGTGGGGGCGGAGGCGTGTCAGGGATCACCTACCCAGCTGGCCGCAACACTCTGTCCAGAGGACACAGCCCGAGGGGCAGGGGCTCGTCCAAGGTCCCCGTCATCTGTGCTGAGTCCAGAGAGCACTGGGGACCCAGGCGGCTTTGTCTTCCAAGGGTCCTGCCCTCTCTCATCTGCTCTCAACCAAGCCTTGGGGCCCAACAGGCGTCATTCGCTGCCTGGGGACCCCCAGGACCCCCCAGAACCCTTCTTTGCATGGCTCCCATGGTGGTCGGCTGTCCAGCCACCCCACAGCCCACCCCGCCTGGGACCTGCTGTTTGCACCTCGTAGTCAGGAGTCACGTTGAGAAAGAGCTGGGTCCCCTGGATCAGAAATGCGAAGGGGGTGGATGAGGGTCCGAGGGTCACCTGCTGGCCCTCAGGGACGTAGATGTCCACCAAGGGCCCACTCGGCTTCGTATTCTCCAACACTTGAAAGAAGGTGTTGTTCACGGAGCAGTCTGGAAAATAGGGGAGGGTCAGTGCCTTCCTGCCCCTGCCGCCACCCGCCCCAACCCCCTCCCACCACGGCCCGGCCCGAGTGTACCCTGGGCCTGGGCTACGGCCATGAGCAGCGGCAGCGGCAGCAGCAGGGCCCAAGCCCCCATCTTGGGGCCGGTGGGAGAGTCCAAGCCCGGGCTGCGTCCGTCCCGGACCCTCTGAGCAGCCTGCTGGCTGGCTGGCGTTGCCTCTGCTGGGACGATCTTTGCCCCTGCCAGGTACCGCCCACTTTATGATCCTTTACTATTGGCCTCCACCTAGGGGGCTCCCGCAGGCCGCAATCCAGGTGGGGGAGACCTTGTGGTTACCCGGCAGGAGCCAGGTCACATGCAGGTGCCAACGGGGACTCAACCCACAGTCACTTAGACATGAGGTGCAAAGCAGCCAGAGAATGCTCAGGACACGTGGGCCTCGCGGGGGGGCTGGGGGCAGGGGGTTAAGGATTGGGGGAGTCTGGAGCTCGGGAGAGGCTGGGGGATTGAGGACGGCAAAGGAGCTGGCTTTGGCTTCTGTGTTTGCTGTACTGTCCCCGCCCCAGATGCCTCTGCTGGGTTCTTCTGCCAGCATCGTCTTGGGGCAAAGTTCCAGGCAGCCCCGTGGCTCACACCCAGGTTCCCCGCCAGGCCCATCTCCTGTCCCCACACTGACTAAGCCCGGAAGGGAAAGCCTGTGTCCTGGGGACACACCTGCCTGTCCCGGAAGTAAGCTGGCTTCCTCCTGGTGGAGGCTGGGCAGGGTGGGAATGGCAGCATTTCAGGGGCACCTCAGATCCGCTGGAGCTCTGGTGCCAGACAGCAGGGTTACTGGAGAGGCTCCTCGGCCCCCAAACCCCAGTGGCTAGGGAGAGGCCACTGGATAGGGCCAGGAGGGAGGGAGATGGCTGCTGTGACAGTGGGGGGCCCTACCCTGGGGGGGCCCTACCCTCCTTCAGGTCATTGCACCTGCTTCTCCCCGTTCTCTCTCATGGTGACAGCAATTCTGCCTGCCATGGGCCTAACCGGCCTCCTGCACCCCCCAGCACTTCTTGGGGTGTCATCACTGCCCCTGCTTCACAGGCGCCTAGTGGTCAAGCCGCTCATCCAAGACCTGAAACCTGGACAGAGAGCCTAGACTCCTGGCTTCCTGAGTGGACTCCTAGCCTCCAGGTGACTCCTCACACTCCCCGCCCCGCCCCCCCACGCCCCTGGCCAGCCTGTCACCGCTTCCTGCCCAGCCTGAACCTCCTCACCCCCTCAAACTTCCCCCCACCTGCTCCACACACCTAGCACAAGGCCGCTGGGGCAGGAGCTGGGGAACACCCTGACCCCCCCCTCAGAGTCCCTGAATGTTTGCTGAGCGGATGACAAGGGGTGCGGGCGGGGCCCTGCGGAGCCCAGTCGATGGGGCAGGAGGTGGCCTTGATGCCAGAGATAAGGAAAGGGGAAGGTGAGGCGCCCACTGTCTTCTCCGGTTTAAAGGGCAGCTGGGCGTGGCCACGGTACCGGCGTGGGCGCGGCCGCCTCCCCTCGGAGCTCCGCCCCCAGGCTGCCTGGCGGCTCAGAGACGGTGCACACAGCGCGCTCGCCAGGCCAGGGTCTCAATTCCTCCTTTATTGGTGCCAAGGGCAGCCCCTCCCGCCACGCCTGCCCCCCAGGCTCGTGTCCCGGTCAGTGGGAGGAGGTTCCTTCTTCCTCAGGACCTCCTCTGGGTCTCAGCAGAGATGGCCGGCTCTGAAACCACGACCCCAGACTTGAGTCCAGGAGGCAGCCAGGGCGACCAGGCCTGATCCAGGGGGGGTGTGGGGGGCATCATCCTGCAGAGACAGCCAGGTTAGGGGCTGTGGGCCTGTAGGTGGAGACCCCCGCCCACCTGGTGAACCGGCCTCTTCAGGTCACCAGCGCTCAGTCTCGCTGCCCGGACCCCTGGCTCCCTGCCTGTCCAGTTCCCACGGCTGACACGGGGCGCCCCAGGGGACCCGAGGGAGGGTCTGGGGCGGAGCTCTGGGTGGGGGGGCTCACCAGGCCTGCAGGACGGCCTTGTGGGACCACAGCAGGCAGAGGGGGCCCTCGGCCGACTCGGTGGCAGAGTGGGTCCAGGATGTGCTGTTCTCCGCGTCCTGCTCGCTGTCCCCCACCCCAAATCAGAGTTAGTCGCGCAGTTGGGGGTGGCGACTGCTGACGTAAGGGGGCACCCCCATGCGGAGCCTGCCCCTCAGGGGGCCCCGGGCCCAGCCTCACCTGCGCTTCCCGACCAGGCCCTGGAGCAGGCGCTGCAGCCGCGCGCTCTCCCGCAGGCGGCTGAGCTCGCTCGTGAACGTCCCGTCCGAGTGTCGCGGGGCCCTGGGGAGGGGATGGCGGCGCCTCAGCGGATCAGGGCCAGGCCGGGGGGGGGGCGCAGACGCAGGGCCGGGAAGGTGGGCCCGTGGAGCGGTGTGGGCTCCGGGACCGTGGGCTCACCTGGGGGGCGCGGGGCGCGCGGCGGAGCCTTGGAGCAGCGGAGGCAGCAGCAGCAGCAGCAGCAGGGCCCGGGGGGCCATGGTGGGCGCTCCGGGTGGCTGAGCGCTGCGACCGAAGCCGGAGCCCGCGCCACCCTTTATAGAGGCGCCCGGCGGGGGGTGGCGGGCGGGGGGCTGGCCGGGGGCGTCAGCACCGCCCCGGCTCCGCGCAGCCCGGGCCGCTCCCCATCGATCCGCAGGAAGGTCAGGGCCACCCCCGCAGCTGTCGCCCCGGCTGGCCGCCCGTCCCCAGCGCCGCGTCGGCGCCCCTCGGCAGGCTGGGGCGGGAAGGCGGGGCTCGTCCGGCGGGGCGGTGGCGCGGGCGAGCGGCGGGAACGTCTGTGCACAGAGGTGGGCTCCGGAGGGTCGCAGCTGGGACCGACGGCGAGGGGACCCTAGGCCGCGGGCTCCCCTGGAGAGGCCCTCGGCAGGCGGTGCGCGCGGCTGGGCAGAGGGGCGGCGGGGAAGGCCGAGCGCGGACCGTGACCTCACGGCCACTCGCCGCGGGGGGCGAGCTGCAGGCAGGGCGCAGATCCGAGCCTCGCCATTTGTTTTTCGAGGCGGGGGAGACCTGAGGCTGTTTCAGGGGCGATAGGAGGTGCGGACCCGGAAAGAAGGGAGGAAAGGGGAGGCAGCTGGGTTCCTGCAGCTTAATCAATATGGGATTAAGTAAAGCGAGGCTTTTTAAAGCCCCGTACGCATGAAATCCTTAAATATAATATAAATCACAAGTCTAGTAAATGAAGTTATAAACTAGTAGTTCTTGTGTTAAACTTTACATGCATTTTAAATATAATTGGTAGACTTTTTTTAGAGCGGCTTTAGGTTTACAGAAAAATTGAGCTGAAATACAATAGATCCCCCAGCACAGGGCGCACCCAGCCTCCACTATTTCCTGCATCTTGCATTGGTGCCCTGCATTTGTTACAGTTAGTGAACCGGTATTGATACATTGTTATTAACTAAGTCCATAATTGACATCAGGACCCACTGTTGGTGTTGCACATTCTGGGGAGTTGGACAGATGTAGGCTGACATGTACCCACAATCACAGTCTCATACGGAGTAGCCCTACCACACCAAGAACCCTGTGCTGCGTCTGTTCATCCCTCCCCTCAACCTGACAACCACTGATCTTTACCGTCTCATAGTTCTGCCTTTTCCAGAATGTTGGAATCACATAGCATGTGGCCTTTTCAGACTGGGTTCTTTCACTTAGTCATGTGCATTTACGTTTCCTCCACGTCCTCTCTGGCTTGAGAGCTCATTTCTCTTTAGGTCTGAATACAATTCCACCGTCTGGACGTCCCGCAATTTATTCATCCATCACCTACTGGAGGACGTCTTGGTCACTTCCAAGTTTAGGCAGTTATGAGTAAAGCTGCTGTAAACATCTGTGTGCAGGTTTATGTGTGGATGTAAGTTTTCAGCTCCTTTGGGTAAATACAAAGGAGCACGATTGATAGATTGCATGGTGAGAATGTTTGGTTTTGTAAGAAGCTGCCACCCTCCAAAGTGGCCGCCCCATCTACACCCTGCCCCCAGCCCCGGTGGGAGCCGTCCCCCCCCCCCCCCCCCCCAGCTCCACTTCCTCTCAGCACTGGGTGTCCTCAGGACTCCGGGTTGTGGCCGGTCCAGTAGGTGTGCGGTGCTCCCTTGCTGTTCTTTCTTTGCATGTGTTTTTTTAAGATTTTATTGGGGAATTCGGGGAGGAGAACAGTGTTGGGGAATTGGGGAAGGGGACCAGCCAAGTTGTTGTTCTTCAATCTTCGTTGTGGAGGGCTCCAGTCTCCATCTGGCTGTCCCGTTGGCAGCTCGTGGCCTCTAAACTCAAAGTGCCGAGTTCAGTCTTAGTTGGTGAGCATTGCCACCATTCCATGCGGGAGTTGAACCAGCAGCCTTGTTAAGAGCGCACGCTCTACCCACTGAGGCATCCGGGCGGCAGCTCAGCTCAAGGTGCCGAGTTCAGTTTTAGTTGCAGGTGGGCGTAGCCCACCATGAAACAGGCAATCTTGTTACACCAGCTGAGCCATCCTGCCACCTGTTGGCAGCCTCAGCTGCAGCTCAGCTCGGGCGCAGCATCACTGGCCCATGTGGGAATTGAACCGGCAGCCCTGTTGCTCAGAGCTCGCACTCTTAAGGCAACTCTTAACCAACTAGCCACTCGGCCAGCCCTCTTTGCATGTGTTTTTAAACAGCTGGTGTGACTTGTTCTTGCACAAACGTGGCAGATTGAAATCTTCTAAACTTGAACACCATTGACTGATTAATTGTATTTGTGAAAATGTTTCAAGCTAATCTAATTGGTTGATTTTTTTAGCACCTCAAACACTTAAGCAGATCTTCATAAGAAAAACCTTCCTATTTAAAAGATTAACACGGGGCCGGCCGAGTGGCTCAGTTGGTTAAGAGCTTGCTCAAGAGTTTGAGCTCTGAGCAACAGCAGTTCGAGTCCAGCCCGAGCTGAGTAGCAGCTGAGCTGCCAACAGGTAGCAGGATGGCTCAGCTAAAAAAAACAAACAAACAAACAAATAAAAGATTAACACGCAATAAAATGGGCATTAAAAAATTAACATACCGTGGGCAGCCGGGTGGCTCAGTTGGTTAGAGTGCGAGCTCTGAGCAACAGGGTTGCCAGTTCTATTCCCACATGGGCCAGTGAGCTGAGCCCTCCGCAACTAGGTTGAAGACAACATCTTGAGCTGAGCTGCCGCTAAGCTGCCGCATGGCTCCCCGTTGGTTAGATAGAGCACATGCTCTTAACAGCAAGGTTGCCAGTTCGACTCCTGCATGGGATGGTGAGCTGTGCCCCCAGCAACTACATTGAAAAAAACAGTGACTGAACTTGGAGCTGAGCTGCGCCTTCCACAACTAAGATTGAAGATTGAAGGACCACAACTTGACTTGGAGCTGATGGGTCCTGGAAAAAAACACACTGTTCCCATGTAAAGTTAAAAAAAATTTAACATACCATCAAGTTAATATATAGTAAAAGAGGAAATTTTGACAGATGTGCAGATCCGTGTAACCAGCACCATAATTGGGATACAGAAAAACCTGTCACCCCAAAGAACTCCCTCATGCTGCCCCTCTGTGGTCACATCCATGGCCAGAGTGACAGGTCACACTGCATGAGGTCACAGGCAGTCACCAGCAAGAGTGAGGCGAGTTCTGAGTGAAAGAAGCCAGATAGGGCTGCGGCCAAGCACAGGCGCGCTGTATCCTAGTGTTCCTGTCACAGAAGGCTCTGCAATTGCCTTCCTGTCATCTGAAAGCGCTGTCACCCACTGCTCAGATTCCTCCTGTCCTCACAGAGCCATGCTGCAGCTGCCTCGTTAAGACGGCGGCCGTGCTGAAGTGCCGGGCAGATGTGGTGGTGTTCCCAGGGCTTTCCAGGGTGGGTGGCGATGCAGCACCAGTGAGATGGCCCATTCACTCATCATCCTGATGGGCCACCAGAACCAGGGGTGAGGTGAGCTAAGGAGTGCCATGCACCCAAACCTTGCCTTCCCAGTTGGGACACTGCTTAGAGACAATGTTGACACAAGCTACGATGACAGAATGCCACTTTCAACACACAGACTTAAGCGAGGGCCCCGTGGGTTCCCAAGACATCAACCTGAGCTAGGTCCTAACTTACACAAATGGCTATTCTGAGCCTCAAATAGGGCCTCACTCTAAGAGGGGCAGGGGGGCCTAATAACAGCCAATTTCAGGGTCCAGGATTCTAAGAAAGAATAAGAAGTTTCATTTTTCCGGAATAGAATGCAGGAAGGAACACATTTTAAACACAGCTAAGAATTTAATTCAATTTGACGGCTTCATTCTCGGAATAAGCAAAGCACAGAAAATATTCTCTAGTCTTTGTTTGTTTTCACCAAGATTTTTTTTTAATTTTATTTTATTTGGGGACAGGGTGTTTTTCCAGGACCAATCAGCTCCAACTCGAGTAGTTGTTTCAATCTAGTTGTAGAGGGTGCAACTCAGTGGCCCATGTGGGGATCGAACTGGCAACCTTGGTGTTAGGAGCACTGCACTCTAACCAACTTGCCTAACTGACCGCCGCCCCTTTTCACCAAGATTTAAATGTCAAATTGAAGTTACTTGTACCAACTCTGAGTTCTCCACTGGGATGTGGGAGGAGGGCTTCCCACTGCTCGTGCGTAGCTGGCACGTAGAACCCGACTGATCTCTGGGGGCTGACCTGTACCCTGCAACCTCACTAAACTGACTTACTGGCCCTACGAGCTTTTTGTAGCTGGCTCAGGGTTTTATGTAGATAGTCGTGTTCGTCTGTGAATAAGGACAATTTCGCTCCTTCTGTTGCAATCTGGATGTCTGTTACTTATGTCTTTCCTTGCAGGATTTCCTAGCCTGATAGCACTGGCTAGAATGGCAGTTGCATGTCCAACAAACTCATGTGCCAGGAGTGGACATACTTGTCTTGTTTTGATTTTAGGTGGAATGCACTCAGTCTCTCATCATTAATTGGGAGGTTCGCTGTTGGTGTTTTGAAGATGCCCTTTATTAGGTCGAGAGAGCTCCCGCCTATCTCTAGCTTAAACACTTTTATCAAAAACAGTGGTCGGGGGCCGGCCGAGTGGCACAATGGTTA